CCCCCCCTCCTTTCTTCTCCAGCCGATACTTTATCGCGTCTCTATATTTATTCCGGGGATTCTCTATATACTTATGTATAAAATCTGCATGCGCACCATAAGTATATGCGTGTGGGAATCGGAAGACATTGGAAGTGTTATAAAACCGATATTTACATTTCCTTCGCTCCTCGTCACTCTTCACGCACCACCTCGACCGCGTCTGTACTCACGTCTCTCCTGTCCCTTCCCCTTGTCCCCTCCCTCCCCCTCCTTTTATTCGATTCGTCTCTTTCGTTTCTTATATTCCTTGTCGCGCGATCCGCAATACCGTATCGTCGACCTCTGTCGCAGGCGGTGGCTCGTATTTTCGACAAATTTATCAAAGTAAGCCCATTTATTAAAGTAAGCGACCGGCCTAGTTGAGGCTCCTGCGAATCGATCGATTCAGTGCAATCACTATACCGTTTAGTCTCTCTCGCGAGTAGCTGTAGGCTGTACTACCATTGTTAGATGACGCGCGGGGCAGAGCTCCCTGCGACGCCACGGGGCGCCTCGTGGAACGTGAGGTGAAGTGCCTAACTCCGATGAGCTGCCGCTTTCTCTTTTTCTAACGCGCTCACGTAGTGTTTCTATAAGGATTTTCTAATCGTTTACCAAAAAAAGGGAAGAAAGTACGAAGGAAATCAGACGCTTTTTAACACAGGATCGACGCGTGCGCCGCGCATGGACGATCGCGGACGCGCGAACGGCCTTTTCCTTTCGAAGCGACACACGTCCTGCCGTGCGCGTGCATCTTGTTTTTTTTTTTTTTTTTTTTTCAAAAAGAGCGATCGTCCAGTCGCGATTTTGTCGGCAGTTTCACGCAAACCGACGCTCCGCGGCGAACCGATCGGCCGGTCTTTTTTCCTCCGAGGATTAACACATTGCGGACGGATGACGAGATATCTCGTCTTTACTATTTCGTCGTTAGGGGCCGGATGACGAGATATCTCGTATTTCATATTGCGTCGTTAGAGGAACATACCCAGCTACTGGGTACGGTTAACAATAAAAATGTCTGGTCCGCAATGTGTTAACACGTTCGCTAGCACACATGCGTTTCTCCACTTCGAGCTCACCTTTACTTTAAATCCTCGATTCTCTTCAACGCGTTCGCCACCAATATCAAGTACGTCCGATTATTTTTCTTTCGCTGTGTCCGTATAAACGAAAAAAGTTGCTCGCAACTAGATAAAATCGATTGCAATGGTGTGTGGGGAGAATTTGTCGAATAAATCGTGCTAGCGAGAATATTAATTTTATCCATTGATCGCTGATCTTTCCTTAAAATTCTGCGCTTGTATTGTAGAGGTCATTCACGAAATTGCCTCTTGAATTTTTCGCGAGAGAAAATGAGGAAAAACTGGCAAGTATCGCGGTCGGTTTGCGCGGATCTTCGTTTGTCTTCGAAGGAGCGTGCCATGACAAATATTTCGCGAAAGATAACGATATATATATATATATATATATATACGATATATATATATATACGATATATATATACATATATATATAGATTATATATACATATATATTATACAATATAATATACAAAAGATAGCATAGCGATATTTACAGATGTAATAACGTTTTCCGCATTGTTTTAACGATTTATATCATACACACATAGATAATATTTTTACTAGTTGATCTGAATAATTGTCTATATGTTTATGTGTCTTAAGCGCCATGCAGATCTATTTTTCACGGAATGTTATGAGCCACGGACGGTCGTTGCGCCACTCTTTTGACTTATTATTAATCTTGATTATTATTAAAGATATATTGTTATTATTATTATTATTATTATTATTATTACTTGTATTATTAATCGATTTTTATCGCCATCACTATTGTATTGTCAATCCAAATGTTTATACTCTTATCGACACGTAACCAGATAATAAAGAGTTTCTAACATTTGGATGGTGTGTATGTATATCCTATATGTGTGAATAGATGGTGAAACGTATACGCTCTGCTTATTGTGCGACAAGATACTTTACTTTGAAAACTTTGCGCAATGTTAGGAGGAAAAACAAATTACACAACGCAAATGAATTTTTCACACATTTTCTTCGCGATAGGTATTTAATTCTGAACGAGCACGTATATATGATGCACTGATTATCTTTATTTTTATTATGAGATTACAGATTTGCATGCACATTTCTTATAGCGATAATTACACATGTACACAGAAAATTTATCATATCAGTCTGTTGTATTATGATATATGTTCGAGACATAAAAATGACAAGTAAAATATACAAGGTGTCCCAAACTAATCTCGATTCCTGTGGTGTTCCTGTGGTAGAACGGGTAAGACTGAGCAAAAAAGTCGTGTCCCATTTTGCAATATTTGCAATAGTTAGTGCGGAATTAATTATTTTGTCGGAGCTAATGAACGCATCTTCAGAAGGAAGCCATTTTTTTAACGCAATGTCCGATCTAGCCTTTCTCGTGCGTTTATTAACTCAGACAAAATAATGAATTCCGCACTAACTATTGCGAATTTTGCAAAATGATACATGACTTTTTTGCTCAGTCTCACCGATTCTACTTGCACACCATGGGAATTGAGATTAGTTTGGGATACCCTGTATATAGTATATACTAAGCGTTTAATTATGGTAATCAATATTTAATTATGGTCAGTTATGGTGATCAGTGCTTTTTCTTGTGAAAGATTTCATTTTTAAGCGTACATTTCATCTTTCTTTGCGTCATGAGATTGCGGTTCTGCACATATTATTAATAAGAACAATTATGGAATTTACCATAACAGTCAATGATATTACGATATAGATTAGAGACAGAAATGATATATATATACACACACATCCATATACATATATATATATATATATATATACACACAGGGTGGGCCATTTAAAGTGTTACAAGCTGTTTTCTCTGAATGTATGCAGAATCATAGCAGAAAATATTTTAGGTAAAAGTTGTTTGATTCGAATGGAAAAAAGATAGAGATACCAGTTTGACCTTGAATGAACATATCAAGAACACTTGTTTATTATACTTGTATACGTTATATATACGTTATATATACTTGTAAAATTGTTTGAACATTTTTATTTTACTTCTTTTTATGTTTCTCTAATTTATTTGTTTACAGCAATCGATTCCATCCGTCATTCTACATCAAAAAAATCTTCTATGTTCATATAAAAAATGAATAGGAGAATCGATATATATGAAAGAAAATCATACATGTATATATGATTCTATTTAAAAAATTTATGATGGCCTTAGTGTGATCTTAGTATGTCCATCCAAAGTCAAACTAATATCCTTATTTTTTCCCTTTTGAACCAATCAACTTTTATTTGGAACATTTTTGGCTATAATGCGTACTTTCAGAAAAAACAGCTTGCAGCACTTTAAATGGCTCAACCTGTACATATATACGCATGTATAAGTATGTATAAAATAAATGTTAAGCGCTTAGTCATAGTTAGCTTGATTGAATACTTGATTGTGATTAGTTATGGTGGACTAGATCGTCACCAGTGCTTGATGATGGTGTGTGTGTTGCGAGAGCTTTCTCCACAAATCTCGGTAAAACGAAAGCTGCTCGGTGTACCTTGTCGTTATAATATTTCAACTCCATGCGGTCGAGATCTTCCTCGCTGAACACCCTGACCGGTTGTGAAAGATTTGTTTGCTGAAAGAAGAAAGCCGCGTTTCCGTTAAAATCGCGATCACACATAAACGGTGCGTGAAAGTACGGGCGCAATTTCCCGATTTCCGTGAACGAAAGTGTAATTGCATCAGTAATGTAATTCAACAAAGATGTAAACTTGAAGATCGAATTATGTATCAGACACACACGAAGACCAATACTAACGCTGTCCAGTGCTCCCATGAGAAAACCGATTTGGCCTGAGGGATATGTCGGTACTGACGTAACCGCGTATGCCGTGACGGGGAACACAGCTTTGCAGTGTTTGTATGTCCTCTCCACTTGCGGCAAACAGTCCCAAACTGTGGTCGCTTGACTAGCAATGATTCCGCCAGGTTTCAACGCAGCCGCCAGTAATTCGTAATACGGCTTCTCAAAGAGACACAGAGCGGGACCTGAGGAGAACGCTAAAATGATCTACTATCTGCGACATGCACAATTTTCTTTGGAAAATAGCGCATTACTGCTTATACACGGAGAGGATTTTATAGTAAAGATTACTGTATTAGAATATAGCATATAGAATGTGCCGAATATAGAATTTTGTAACCGAGAAATATCTCGACATTTTGGATTAATTTATCATTCTGTTTCATATGTGCTACTTTCATGTATGCTTTAGAAATTGAAGTTTTAACAAAATTTAATGCGAAAAAAAGCTATGATGTTCTCTTCGTATGTACGTGTGTGCATAAATATATGTATGTGAAGGAGAAAGAGATTATAATATCAGTTTTCCATATAAATGTTACAGATTGTTGATTATTGATTACTTGCCTTTAGGATCGGAACTGTCTGTAATAATGACGTCGAATTCCCCGACGTGTCGTTCCAAAAATTCGAAACCGTCTTCAATTACAATGCTCACTTTGGGGTCTTGTAGACTCGAACTCAGGTGGGGCAAATATTTTTTAGACACTTCGATAACTCGTTCGTCGATCTCTACCAGAGTCACACGTTCGACATCGGGGTGTTTTAAAACTTCTCGCACCATCCCACCGTCGCCACCGCCGATTATCAGGACCTGTTATGAGGTAAAAGTTATAAATGATCTATTTTTTTTCTATAAAAGTATTCTCACGAAATCCGTTCACTGAGTAAAGCATTAATGCCCGATACATGTTCAATATTAATGCGATGGGTGGTTTCGACGCGATTCTAAAGTTAGAATCTGCAAGAGTTTACGATTAAAACAGGGATAGAATTTGCATCACTTATTATTTGAAATGGCAATAAATAATAATTAACGATCAAGCAGCACTTTTGGCTAATAATTCGCAAAATCGCAGCATGTCAATGTCTCTTGACACTTTAGCGTCGAAAAAAAAAAATAGTTCCTACTAGCATATTTCATTGATATTACATTAGCTTAATAATAGCCAATTAACTAATTATTGAACCAATACAATACCAACGAAATGTATTACGATGAATACTGCGACGCATTATATTATCAACGGCTGCGAATATGCTAACAATACATCGTGCAATTTACATAAAATGGATATACATATTAGATAAGCTTAAATATGAAAGGAAACATGATAAGATCAGATGCGTAAGAAATACAACGTCAATTAGATCGGAATATTAATGGAGCTATTTATCATCAAAAATCCAAGGAAATTTCGCTGCTCTTTAAATGACTAAAATGTTATTGAAAGCGGATGTGTAACCATCAATTAATATTCCAGAAATATTACTTGATATTAAATAATATTACGCGCTGATAGGGTTGTCATTATTACGTAAATGACTGACATTCGTAGGTTCGGAGTGACTGCAGAGCGGCAGAAACGACAGCATCTCGTGGTAGGAGAATTCGTCCTTGTCTGTACATTGGATGATACTGTCAAGTATAAGAGCGCGTCCGTGCGATTTTCTATAAACATATCAATATCTCTCGATACAGATCTGCTCGCTCGCGCGCATTGCGTTATGTAATTTTGCGCTCTAAATCTGGACCCCTTTCTTTCCTAATCGAACTGCTCGATAACAAAATTCACTCGTGGAACACTCACGTTTTTACGACCAATATCTCTTGCATGCCGGACGACTCCTGATGCAGCACCTCCTCCACTTGCAGCGACAGCGAGACCCCGGGCCAGAGATCGTCCACTTCGCTGAACCAGCCTGGTCGTATAGCGTTCATGCTGTTTCGTTGCGTCTGCTTGCGTTTCGTTGAGGTAGCTAGAAAAGCACGAGAGCAAAATCAGAGCGAACGTTGCACGCATGGCGCAAGAGAGCGTGCATTATCATTCGGAGAACGCGTCTACACTTGAAAAACTATCTCGCAGACAACCGCAAGATAACTCGTTTTCCGTCTTTTACACCCGTGTTAGAAGACGGATGAAAGTGGTAAATCGGCGCTCATTATAAAGTACCATGACATAAAAGATAAGATAAATGTATCATATGTGCGTATATCTATAATATATACGCAAATATTTCGACGAGATGTTGATACATCACGGTCTCTCCGCGGATAAGGAGCGGAAAAACTTGTTGGGCTTTTTTTTTTTTTCGTAACGACTTTACGAATAATTCATCCGATAAATAACACGTAATAAATGTCAGTAAACATATCGTCGATGACGTCCGGCATAATAATGCATATGTTGTATGACGTGTGTATATACATTTCCGGGAAAAAAAGATCGTATATGAGATGCCCATATATAATTCACTTATCCCCAGATTTATCCACGACGAAAAAATCTATCTTTTACAAATTGTACGTAAACACAATTGACGTTAATGCACTTGGTTATTTGTGCTTCTGACAGCATATGTTATTGACGTTTAATTAAATAACATCATTTTTTTTTCCTATAGACATACATGATCATATATGTAATCATGTATGTAATCATGTGGGCAAAATTCATATATGATTTTATATTATTATATACAATCATATGTAAATCACTCGTCCTCGGGTTATTGTGTCGAGTTATTGTGTCGGACATTAATCATCGATGTTATATTACTGATACTTTGGTGTTTACTAGATTAATTCTTCATAGAATCGTCGTGAAATGCAAAAAATTTCCCTGCCCTTCCTCGTCGGGAAGGTAATAAACAAATACGAGACGTGTATTGACACGGGCAAAGCACTGTGTATAAATATTTCGAAATTCAAATAAGAGATGAAGAATTTCCTTTGGTATTCACATTTTTGTATGATATGCCGTTATCGTAGATCAAATAACGGTTTTTCCTTAGATAAACGTATTCCCAGATGTTTTCTATGGTGTTTTATTGCATTTGACTTACGTCAAATAACCTTGGCGGCATCAAACGGTTTCTCGATAAAATTTATCTCGCACGCGCGCCATTAACTTCTTTTGTATCGAACTTCAAATCGTCATGTGGAATACGAGTTATCGTGAGATATTGCGTTATTTTGGATGATAACAGCAGAAATGATTTCGCCGCTGTATTTGCTATACAAATACATTCATTTCCACTGGCAGAAGTTAACGCAAGAACACATTATGGTCGTCGCAAAAATTTACCGCGCTGCGAGCTAGAAGTAATCAAAATAATTGCTTTTTTACTAGCCGTTATTTCGGTTATCCGTTACTTTTACGTAATTAAGTAATTTGGTCAGTTATTTATAATTATTTATTTTAAATCTCGTAAAATTAATGGATATTTGTCCATACGGCACATTTACTCATACTGCAAATACTGCGAATGTTCAATTTGGAGTGCAGCATGAGTCCATGTTTTCATGTATTATAAATTGTTAAAAGTCTGATTGCAAAATCCGACTTTGTATGTGACATTGTATCAAGCGCGTACATATATACACAGAGTGAGTGACTTTACAGAAATTTAATACTGCAAATTACTAAGGAATTTACAGTGATTAAATGCTGGCAGTATTTCAGTTATTATTTGGCCAATACTTAATCATTGATCAATATATTTCAAATTATATATATATAAAGGTTGTGTTTTTTATTGAAATTAATAATAAAATAAAAATAAGAAAAAAAAGAGATGTATGATAGTATCGGGTCGTTTAACGAAGAATCAAACATTCTAGATTTTACGCTACCGAAACATTTGATCATCGCGTGTTTAATGTATGCTATACAATCATTGCTTTTTAACATTTAATCACTGCAAATTTAGTAATTCTTGTTATTAAATTTCTATAAGTATATTATATTTTATCACTACTGCGTTATTGAGCATTAGTGTTTAATATTCATATTAATGATTAAGGTAATATTTAATCAATGCAACCGTAAGTACTGAAAGTACTGAAATATTTGTATAAGTACCGTAAGTAGAAAAATATTTGGGATCACTTTATAATTGTAACATTATGAATTACTGACAACAATATTTTAAATATTCAATGTGAGTAATTAATCACTAATCTAACAGTGATAAATTTCTGTAAGGGTACGTGACGATGCATCGTGTCGTTCCATAATTATTCAAACATCGCGGAATCGCGCGGCAAATTGACGCCACGTGCGCGCCTTTCACCGTTCGTGCTCCCAGTCGTGATCAATTCTCCGTTGATCACAGGTTCGCGAATTAATTCAGGAGGAACGAACGACTCGGCTGAGCATGCTCTGAAGATGAGATCACCAAATTTCACCATTATCCGCGCCAACAGTCGATTTCACCACGACGTTAACGCGTCTAATAACGCACCCTCAATGACTCAATCAGGATTTCTCATAGCGTTTGAAAATATTTGCAATATTACGATACTTGCCGGGTTTCCACGAGTTCCCGAACTCGTTCGTCACCACGGCATTTGCGGCGATCTACCGAATTTTCTAACGATCGAATTTAAAGTTCGTGACACTTGTTCTTCTCGAGGTTCGTGAATTCCTTTTTTTTCTTTTTTTGAAATTTCGCAGCGGGAAGAGCACGAGACTGAGCGCGTTTTCCAGAGGGGGAAAAAAAAAGATGTACACGTGATCTCAAACGAACAAGAATATAAACAATTTGTTCACCTGCTACGGCGGCTCCCGAGATAGCTGCTGATCCGACCTACACACGTGTTTCAACTTCGAATAAACTGAAGATCCGGCAGGCAGCAGTATTTACTCCGGTCCGATGACTAATCCAAAAATTCGAACGTGACTTGATAGGAGCGGCACGCAATGCGTCGACCTCGTAAGGGAGATCAGATAACGAATGGACCGCTTGAACTTTGCTCGCGTGTTTCTGACTGTGCGACGGAATTCCGAGAGCTCGTCACTCCCGCAGAGGGAGCCCTGGAAAACTTCTTCGAGATTGCTCCCGAAATCGATTACAAGCTCGATCGAGATCGTCGAGCTGAATTTTTGATCGCACGAATCGATTTATTCATATGAGACTGATATCGGAAGGTCGCTCGTGTGTGGATCCTCTCATACGGCGTAAACTCGTGAGGAGTGAAGTTTTCCGAACTGGAAAACATTTAAAAACGTATACTTCTGAGTTCACGCTGAGGGAAAAGGTTCATTTACGACAAATCGACTTCGAAGTCGAACCCGTTCATCGAGGAGACGCGGACCAATACGCGTATGATCTTCCGTGACCCCGATAACGCGGTTTTTTTAAAGAGAACTCAGTGAGCAATAAAGACATCGACATATTTGAAATAGCGATTTTACTGTACGTTTCTGTAGAAAAAATTGCAGAAATTCTTAATATTTGATCATTTATTTTGTAATATAATCTGTAATATATTTTATAACAAACTATGTCATAACACACTATGTTATTTCACACGTAACATGTTTTATATAATTTTATATAACGTATGCTTTATAATTTAATATTTTAAAAATATTCCTATTAGGATAGCAAATATTTACATAATTTATGTAAATATATTGCTGAACAATTTATATTTCCTCACTATTAAAAGCAGTGACGAAATTCTCTTGTCCGATACTTCAATGCGTTCAAGAATTCAACGGATTGCGGCTGGTCGCGTATCATAAAGAAGCGAAAGATAAATTATGTCATCTTGGACGCACGTCAAGAATTGATCGTGACCAAGACGAATAACACCATGACGGGGAATAGTGCAATGTAATTGCGCAGATTATACCCCATATAACATCACAAAAATTTAGCAATGATATCGCATGGGAATATTATACATCACAGTAAAATATTGTAGAAATATTATATGTCTGTAAACAACATTGAAGTACTAAAATTACATTATTGCAACATATTACATCTCAAGTAGCAAGGTGACGTCAAATGATATTGTAATGATGTCTTATTGACGTTAGAGACGTCATTAAGACGTTATTCGACATTACCTTGCTACTTAGGATGTTACAAATCGTATTGGAATATGAATAAAATATTTCAGAGATAATGTATTGCTTTGTAATGTTACGAGTAATTTAATTAATTGAACCAATTGAATTAGTTTTAATAGTATTAATAATGAATAATAATAACAATAATAGTAAAAAATAATAATAACGTTTACTCGGACAAATGGACAAAGAAGTCACTAAATAGTTAAAAGAAGAAGATTTTGACCGAAACATTGAAAATAATGTTTCTACACTATGATTTTAATATTGAAGAACATAATATCATCAAGTAGCAGTTTAAAAACATTTATAAAATATTATGTCAAAATGTTTATAAAATTATAAAA